TTGAAAGCTTACTAAAATTTTAAATAGAAAAACCAATTAAAAAGCTTATATACCATTTTGTATTCAAAAGAATAATTACGTTGAATCAATTTCAGGGATTTGTTCTTTGCTTGGTATGAATCTAGTAGTGTCCTCATCTTCATCACCTTCAGCAATTGAATCATTGGTAGTTTCGTATCCACATTTTATTTTAAGTTCAATATTTTCTTTCTTGAGTCGATCAATTTCTGTATCTTTATCATTAAGTTCACTGTGAGCATCATTTAGCAATCTCTAAATTATTCAATAATTATCATCATATTATTGAATATTATTTAGTTAAAATGATTTTGTTTTACTCTAAGATTCCTGATAGTTCGACTTGATCTCTGAGTAGGTGTAAGATACTCTTCACTGCCTATATTTGAGGGACAATAGTGTAAATAAGCTTTTTTGCGGCTGGAATATGTGGTGCCATTAAGAGCAAACATAGAATGGCCATTATCACATTGACTGCTGGTTGTACTGCCAAAACTTTTTTCTGATGCACAATCGTCATCTTTTTCATATGTATTTAAAGTTTGCTAAAAACAATATTAATAACATTGATTATAACACAAACCAATCAAGTTGAATAGWTTAATATAGATTCAAATATTTATAAAATATAGTGCATATATAAATACTAAATAAAAATATAAATTTGTTCCAGCTTTATTATTATTGTTATTATCATTAAGAAGACACCATACCCACATGTGTTGTCTTTATCTTACAAGTCAAACAATACATGCGGGTATGGCATCCTTTTAACATAATATAAGAAAAGTGAATATTTACTAAATACTAAATAGTATTCCTAATATGGGACAAATTTTTTTCATTTATAATAAACAATTACAAAATATGTAAAGTATTTGATAAAATTATCAATATATTATTTTATTATATATTATAAATTATATAAATTTATTATGCCTACATTTAAATATAATACAATTATACATTTTTTTTTTCCTATTTATTACAAAATATAACAATAGATTTTATACTATGATCATGTAAAAAATAAATAAATGATATATATTTTTTATTGAGAAAATTACAAATCATATAAGTATGATAAGTTAATCTCTTAATCTGTCAAGATTTATAGTTAAAATTGGAGGATTATATAAAAAT